TGTTCCCATGCCTTGATCCCCCCCCCCGATACGGAGCAGGGCCTGTCCTGGTCCCAGGGCTGGTGGCCACAGCATCTTCCGTGACTCCGGGTCAGCGAGGTGCGCAACTTTCCTGACCTCAGACATCAGCTTTTCCGACCTTTCCCGGCCCTCCCGGTGCAGCTGCAGGGGGCCGGGGAGGCGCAGCGGGAGGATTTTGCAGCTGCCAGCGATGCTGCACGTCCGTCCCCCCCCCCCCCCCAGCACTCCCCACTCTTGAACCCTGAAACCCCCCCGCAGCCTGCTTCCCGCTAGTGCTGACTCACCCTTTCCCCAGCGTGGGCGTTCTGCTGAGTCAAGGTCAGGCCGGGGCCGCCCCATATTGCTGAGTAAAGGTTTCAGGCTTTGGCAGAGGGGCTGTTTTGCTGAGTCACGGTGGAGCAGGGGCCACGTGAGGCTGTTTATTACAGGGCGGTTTCCTGAGCGCAGCCCTGGGATTGCAGCTGCGGCTCTTGGACCCCGTCCCGCTCCTCGGGGCAGTGGGAGAAATCTCCAGAAACAGCCCCGGCTGCCACAGCCCGGGGGCTGCACGGCCCCCCCCGTACCCCAGGGGCAGGGAACCACGCAGGGGTGGTTTGAAAAACTCGCGTGGGGGGGGGTGGGGTGGTGCCTGGGTCTCACTCTCTTCGCAAAACGTGGTTTCCAGCTCCACCTTCTCCCCTCCCCTGAGAAAGGGCTGTGAGCTGCCGCACAGGACCCTCCTTGTTGCATAGGTGTGATTTTTCAAGTCCGGATTTTCACGGTTTGTCCTGCCTTGCAGTCAGGGCGCACTTTGTTTCGCACGGTTGTAGCATCGAAACAAAGGAGGCGGCACAGAATGCAACATCTGCACAAATGGGATTTTTATTTACTAACTCTGCCCTGCTCCCTTCCACACCTCCTTTTGCTCCCAAGGCAGATCCCCACCAGCACCAAGGAGCTCTGAGGAGCGTGGTGGGCTCTATGCACCCTTCTTCTCCAAAATTTTATCCCAGTGTACCTGTAGCCTGAAGACCTGCTTCACGCCTTAGGTCACTGCCTGACCTTGCAGGGTGCTCGCTCTCTTCTCCCTCCATCCTCCTCCCTTCTCTGTTCCCAGCCAGCCCAGAGCTCTCTCCTTGCTTGTAGCCACGTGCCAGAGACGCCCATGCACTGTAGCACGCATATATCGATACATCTACCAAAATGTGCATTGTAATCTGCGTTTCCTGGTCCATCTATGTCTGAGAAATCTGCCCACACCTCCATCTCCCATCGCGCCGGTCCGCGGGGGTCCCGTGTGGGGGGTTTGCCCAGCACAGCCGTGTCCGTCTGTCGGACCCTCCCGAAGGCACCCGCAGTGCCAGCCCGGAGGACAGCTGCCCTGCCTGCGTTCCCTGCGGGGATTTTCCAGTGCGTTGCACTCCCGACCTCCCTTTTTCCACCTGTATCTTTGATCTAGACCTGGATTGTTCAACGCTGACGGCAGCGAGCACACTCAGTTCTGCCAGGGCCAGGCTGGGCCAGGCAACCTCCCTTTGGTAAACACAAATTAACCCAGAGAGTATCCCTGTATACTCCAGCACTGACTCCTTTCTTCAGCAAGTAATTTTAAGCAGTTACCGCAACTTCCTTTTTTTCTTTTTTTTTCTTTTTTTCTTTTTTTTTTTTTTTTTTCCTTCCCCTGCCATTACACAGCAAGTCCTGGTTACTGAGTCAGCTTTCTGGGTGCAAACCAAGCGGCTGCATTTTGCTGTGTCACGGTCTGAGAGAGCCCATGAACCCCTCTGAGCCAGCCAAGGCTGGTTTTCACCGGGTAATGCCTTCCCCCGCCAAGCCAAGCTGAGCCAAGCGGGGCTGCCGGGAGCTGCCTGCTGGAGCCCAGCGTGGAACAGTTCAGGAGTGCTGACTCGGCACTCCATGACTGCCTCCCTAACGAGACATTTCTGACCATAAATCTATCGGCAGAACAGGCTGTTAAGTGTATAAAGAGGAGAAAATTCCCCACTTCTCTATCCCTGATGGAAACACTGACCCCTCAACAACTTTTTGTTGTTGTTAATCATCTACACCATCTCTTTATTAAGCATTTTCTCAGGGGCTGGGCTGTGCAGGCAGAGGCTCTTAAGCCCAGCAAGGAACTTTTACAAATAGCTTGCCTGAGGCTACTTGATTCGTGTTCACTAGAAATCTCCTGGGCAGCTGCACTGGTGCCCATGCACATCGCCCTCACAGCTCTGGCACCACCCTGCCACCGCTCACTGGAAGAGCTGGAGATGACAGGACTTCTGGCGGGCACGGTGGAGACCACAGGTCTGACACTTCAATGGGGTCCGAGAAAAATCTCCGAAGTGACCGGGATGCGGGCTGGCCTCTGCTTTCCCGTGTCCCACTATGCCCGGAGTGAGTTGCTCTGGGGGCCAGCTTGTTCCTTCTGCTAAAAGCACGCGCCTCCTTCCCCATGCATCACTCTCAAGTGTCAACTTCCCGAGTTCTCTTCTGGGAAGAGACGGTCCTCCGCAGATCTCGGCCAGCATGCTCGGTGTCATTAACCTCCCCACACCACACAGCGACAGCACAGCAGAAGCAACACAAATCCTCGCTGCAGAGCACTGGATGGGGCCAGAAATGCCCCAGGCTAGCAACTGCAAAGATGATGACACCCCACTTTCAGTTCTCCTTTGCTGCTGGGCCTTTGGGCCTCTCCGGAGAGCTGAGCGTGGTCTCGCAGCTGCTCCATCCCCAGTCACCCAGATCAGCTTGAGATCGGACAGCATAAATCAGTTATGGGGCACGGCTTGCCTGCCTGCACCTATGGCAAAGCTCACAGCGGAGGTGAGCTGCAGGAGGGCCCTGATCTCTTGTGACCAGCCCAGGAGAAGGTAAAGCCCCAAGATCCACAAGGAAGTACACCGGCTCCGTGTCCTGGGGCTGTGTAGTTATGAGCCAGGACTTCTTCCTAGGAAGAAGTATCCTGCCTGGAATGGCAGCGACAGGACTAGACACCCTCTCTCTCTTCCCCCCAGTCTCACATACACATCTACCACAACCCTGGATGAAAAGGAAGGAGGAGGACCTTTTGGATACATCCCTTATCGTGTCTCCAAGCATGCAACCTCTTGGAAGAAGGCAGGAGGCAGGCAGAGGACAAAAGCACTGGCCTCAAAAGCAACCAGAAAGCCCTTGGGGAGGAACTGGGTACACTACCAGAGATGCAGAACAGAGGTGAAAGGAGGGACAGAGCTTGAGGATTTTTTTCATATTATTTCATAAAATTAATAATATTATTCATTTTCATATTCTCATATATTTCCTACTTCCCTCCACCAGAACTACAGTTTCAAACTGTGCTCCAGCTTCTCATGTCAGAATAGGGCTCACTGAAAAGGACAGAAAATGTGAGCTTTAAGGAGCAATGTCAGAGGGAAATGCTCATTTCAGGGCCATCTCTGGGGCAAAATGGCATCAATGTTTTCAGTAGGGACTGGCCATGCAGCCCTGTGCTCCCATGAACTCCGCACAGGAGCCCTCTCTCAGGGGATGTTCGGGGCTTTGTCACACTTGCTTCAAAGATTCAGAGATTCCGATACATTTATTTTACCTTACAGAAAAACAAGCAAGACAGCAGCAAGTTGTCTGGAATGGCATGGGGATAAGAGTGGAAGGTGACAGCTTTTGCTAGCAGGCACTGTTGCTTTAAAAGACAAAAGCAAGACAGGAAAAGTCTGGCTGAGTCAGGGTGGAAACGCTGAGTAATCCTTCCTGAGCACCGCACCGCAGGCCAGATGTCTCCCCGAGCTGAAAAACAAGCGTGGAAGCATATGGAACGCCAGGACATCTTTCTAACCCCCAGCACCAAGCCCGGCCACGGCCCGGCGTCGGTGCGGTGACAGGGAGACACGCGAGGCCCACGGCTTGGACGGCAGCCCCCGTGGGCAGAGCTCCACAGCGGGCTCACTAGCGGGGACAGACGGACAGAAGATGCCACCGTCCTTCCCCCTCCTCCCCGGGCTCTGCCTCCCTGCCACCCCCCACGCGGCTGCAGCACGGGGCTTTCTCACCCCCGCAGCAGCGGGGGGGGACGGTGGCTTTTAAGCGCCCTGCTCTTTGGGTTGAGCACCAAACGTGCGTTTTTTCCGGAGGTACACGTAGCTGGCCATCCTGGCTCGCCCCGCTGCCAGCACAGCTACGGCTGCAAAAAGCAGGGCCCCGCTTCACCCGTCAGCTGCCTCGCTGACCACTTCACCGGACAAAACAGCAGAGCAGCCAGCTGCTGGCGGAAGCCCCTTTGTCCAACTCCCTTTCCCCAATTCAGAGAAATCATTCTGCCTTTGCAAGCCTCTGCAGATTTCCTCAGTTCCCCCCCCCCCCCCCCCCCCCCCCCGAGTCTTGTATCACATCTTTTCAGTCCACCAGCTACCCCAGCCTCCTGGGCATCTAGGAGATGGAGCGCTATTCTCCTAAACTGCCCTGCGCACGGCTGTGGTAACAGCAGGGGCCAGCCGCCACACGAATCAGACTATTTTTTCCATGCAGAAGGGAGCGCGGGAAGGATTTCTCCGGGCATCATGCGCTGGCTCTGTGCAAAGAGACAGGGTTTACTCCCCAGCCCCGTGCAAGCGCAGGCGCTTGCAGCCCAGCGCTGGTGTGTGCGTGTGTGCCAGGGCAGCCGGATTACCCTGGGACACAGGCTGGGGTGTGGGGAGAGGAGGCTGCCCACCCTGCCCCAGGCTCTACCCCCCGTAAATCCACCCCTCCTTGCCGCTCCCCCCGCCGCTCCCAGCACAACGAGCAGCACCCCTCGCAGCAGCCGGGCTCGGCACGCGCCCTGAACGGGTCAGGGAGCCTGGCACCCTCGACGAGAAGTTGCTGGACATTCTCTTGCTCGTGCTTAGTTATTGAGAGGCATCAGGTGACTTCCTTCTGGTCCCTGGGGGGCTGCGGGCGAGGAGGGGGTGACTGCCACGCTGGAAAGGGAAACGCGGTTGCGTTGCCGAGGAGTTTGTGCTCACCCTGAGGTCAGCGGCTCGCAGCTCACGTGGCCGGGCTGTATAAAGCTGGATGTGGGAGCCAGGCTGCCCAGCTCAGAGCTTCGCTGTCCCGGGAGCAGGAGGGACGGGGGAAAGCACAGGCAACAACAACAGAAAAAGAAAACACCAGGGAAGGGGAGGAGTGAAACGACGTGGAGAAACATGGAAACGTCCAAGACACACAGCGCCGAAAGGTGAGAGCGGGACGGGGACGAGAGAGAAACCTTTTGCCATAATTGTGTTTCTCCCCTTGCTTTTAGGCATGCTGTTCCTGTTTCTGCTCTGCAGGGAACGGCGCGCTCCGGCTTTCACCCCTAGATGGGGTCTGTCAGTCTTCCTCGCTCGGGACAGCGTTGGGGTCGCTGGGGCCCCCCCGGTTCCCATCCACGGCTCTCGGGAACGCTCTGCTCCTTTTCCTGCCATCCCAGGCTCCCCCCTTTTTTCCCTAGAGAGCTAAGACCCGTTTTGCCAGAGGAGAGCGACAGTGCTGATACCCGTTTTGCTGCTCTTTCCCCAGCACGTCCAAGGACCTGTCAGAACTGATGAAGGAAGCTACCAAGGAGGTGCACGAGCAGGCAGAGAACACACCGTTCATGAAGAATTTCCAGAAGGGGCAAGTGTCGCTCCACGAGTTTAAGGTACTTCAGAGAGGCATTGCTTGGGGTTGGGGATTTCCTCGCCGGGAAATACATTGTTAGATCAGACTAGCCGCGCGGGGACTAAAGAGGGGAGGATGGGGATGGCACAAGGGAGGAGGTTCTTTGCACTGCAGCTGTCTGGTATCAGCATCTCCCATGCAAAACATGCTCTTCATCAAACTCCAGCACCCTAAGAGCTTACCAGCTCCTCTTGCAGAAGGCAGGACAGGACTGGGCATATCAGGACAGGCAGCCAAGCTGAAACAGGATAAAAAGACAAAAAGCTTGATGGGATTAATGCAATTGCTTTTCTCTCTCTTCATAAATGTCTGCATATTAATTATTGGCAATTGGCAATGGAGATAGGACTAGGTGCAAGATACTTGAGTGGCTGAAGTGCCAGAAAGAGGGAGAATACTAAATTTACAACACTCTGAGCAGCTACAGCTAGGAATAATGATGGAATGGTAAGAAAGGGAGGATGTGGGATCATCTCTGGCACTGAACTTTGCAGCGTTACAGCTGTCACTTGGGTTATTCCAGAGCTGAGATTGTGAACAATAATAACTAAAAGGCAGACTAAGTTTGAGCAAGCCATGTCTGCCGCCAGCAAGTAGGAGCCTGTTGCTTTTCCTAAGATAAAAGGTATTTTCAGGTATTGGTCTGCACCTAACCTGGCTAGATACGTGATTCCTGGGATCTGAGCCACATAACAAAGCCATGAGCAAAAACAAAGCACACACCTGGGCCAGAAATTCCTGGGAGGCTATAGGATGTGACGCATGGGCTTGCAAACAACAGCTAGTGATCCAACCTGTGGTTTAATTACTTTGTTGTTGAATTGTTCCTTGGCAAATAAATACACAAGAGTAGGAAAAAGACCACTTATTTCTGTCAGGTTGCATTCAGGATACTCAGTCAAGTATAAATTTAATCTCAGGTGCTGACTTCCTACTGTTAGAAATGCGGTATTGATCGGGCAGTGAACTTTGAGACAGGGTGGCAATATCGTTAAAAAGTCTGGCCTTCAGGAATACAGCTCAGTTTCTTAGAAGATATTTACATACTGTCAGGGGGAGTGAGATGTGATGTGCGTTTTAAAAAGTAGTGACAGTTTTCAAAAGCCACGTTTCTCATTAAGCCACTACCTGCCTCTGAAAGCAAACAGTCAAGTTGTATTTTCTTGATTTGTTATGCAATGTTCCCATATTTTGTTTCTTTTCCAGTAAGCTGGATAACAGGTTCTTGTTTAAAAACCTCCATTTTTGTTTACTCTCTTGGCAAACCTATATATTTGCCCTGACACGTGACTCCCCAGAATCTGAATATTTGTTTCCACAACAAGCCACTGCCCGTGTGCTTGTCAAAGTCCTGTTTGCTGGCACAGCGGGGAAAAGTTGAAACAGTAGTTCTTTTACTGCCAAACGGATTGCTTTGTGAGAGAGGAAACTGTTTTCTCTCCTGTCATCAGCATAATCCCGCTCCCCCCCATCTGACTCACCTGTACTGCAATACCTAAAATGTTTTACCCTTTGCTGCTGATAAGGGAATCCAGTGTAAGGAAGGGGTGGTGTAGATGTAAATGCAAATATAGCCTCTGAAAACAGAATGCCTGCGGAAGGAATGAACACTGCTAGATTGTCTTACACCACGTGGAAAAGCTGGCAGATAGAAGAAAGTATCGCCTAAACTGGGAAAAACAACAACAACAATGGTTTCAAATTAGAGAGGAGAACACACAGCCCCGCAGCGCTCCTTTACAAAGGCGTCTTTCAGAGGCAGGCTGTGCTTCCAGCCCCTCTTTTATCTTGTCTCCTCGGGGCCACTGAGGAGGCAACCCCACTTGCAAGTATGAATGAGAGTGGAGGTGCCTCAGCTTCCAGGATGGTGGGATGCCAACAGGATGAATATGTTGAAAAATAAACAGGGTGCGTCACTGTCTCGCAAGACCCCACAAAGGGAAGCCACATCTTGAAGCATTCAGATTTGAACAATGAAAATACAACTTGGGGAATACCCTCTCTATTGACCGAGGGAATGAGGAGAATAGACCGGGCACGATTGAATAGGGCTCCAGTTTCCATTACATTAAATCCCAAGACCTTTAACTTGAAGGTGAAGGCGGTGGCTTTTAAGGGCAGGTAAGACCAATATCTGCTTGAAAGGGCTTAGGTCTTACCTGATGCTGCCTCAAGCAGAAGGGGAAGGGCTAAACCATATCTGTATCCCATATGGGAAAGCTGCAACATCACAGATGTGCATGACTCGTACTGGGTGTGCCCATGAGTAATTTCTTTGTTGGACTTGTCCCCAAAACCTGAAGAACAGACAGATGCACCTGTAGCTCATCCTCTTCCTTCTCTTTCAGCTGGTTGCAGCATCCTTGTACTTCATCTACTCTGCTCTGGAGGAAGAGAGTGAGCGGAACAAGGACAAGCCGGTTTATGCCCCTGTGTATTTTCCGGCGGAGCTGCACCGGAAAGCTGCCTTGGAGCAAGACCTGGAGTACTTCTATGGCAGCAACTGGAGGGAAGAGATCCCATGTCCCGAGGCTACTCAGAAATATGTTGAGAGGCTCCACTACGTAGGCAAGAACCACCCAGAGCTCCTGGTGGCCCATGCCTACACTCGGTATTTGGGAGACCTGTCTGGGGGGCAGGTGCTAAAGAAAATTGCCCAAAAGGCCCTCCAGCTGCCCAGCACTGGAGAAGGGCTGGCTTTCTTCACCTTCGATGGAGTCTCCAACGCCACAAAGTTCAAGCAGCTCTATCGCTCCCGCATGAATGCCCTTGAGATGGATCTTGCCACTAAGAAAAGAGTCTTGGAGGAGGCCAAGAAAGCATTCCTGCTAAATATACAGGTGAGTAACAACCAGCCAGCCCTGCCTGCCCACACCCTCTCTGAAAGAAGATGATAGCTACACGGGAGAGGCAAAGCCAGTATTTCTGCTGTGGAGCCTATGGGATGTTGTCGATTAGGGCAAGCTAATCAGAGCTGTGCGGCTACATTTGTTCAACCTGGGAGCCTTTTAAAAGGCTGGTCTCTGAGAAGCTCTTCTCCCTCCCCCAGGGGCTGAATTCAGTCTCCTCCACGTGCTAGTATTCAGGTATGAATGAGGGCTTATACTGGGAGTGGAGATCACCACCTACCTGTCCCACCTCTGTAGCACAGCTCCACAGGTCCTCTGTGCACGATGACCAGATGCACAGGTACCTTCCTTCCCTTCCCATCAGAAGGTGGGCAATAGCCTTCTCCTGAGCTGCAAGCTTCAGGGAGAACCTGAAAAGTGAACAAGGAGTTTGGAAGACATGCTTTTGACCCCACAGGCAGATTATGTTCTGTGCAAAAAGTGCCAGGAGACCTGAACTGAAGGCTTGTGTCTTCCTCTAGTTCCTAAAGTTCCTGGGGGAGGGGATGCAGTGAAATAAGAAGAGGAGGCCACATAATGAGACAGTGTTCCCTCTCCTCAGGTGTTTGAGGCGCTGCAGGAGCTGGTGTCTAAGGGCCAGGAGAATGGTCACCCTGTGCAGCCAAAGGCAGAGCTTCGCACAAGGAACATTAATAAATCATATGAACACGGTAAGAAACTTCTAAGGGCAGGTGTTTAACATTGTCCCTTTGTGGTTTTTGTCTCCTCCCCTCCTCCACTCTTGCTTGCAAAAGCCGCTGAGAAGTGAGCTTGAGGTGCTTGCCCCATCTCTTCTCCAGCCGTCAGCAGGCACTGCAAGGAGAGGCACAGGCAGGTGCAAAGTTTCTTCGAGATGTGACAGAGCAAGGATGACACATGTGGGCTCTCCAGAAATCGTGGCAGTGAGGGAGCTTTACAAGAAGAGGTTCCCCTCTTCTCCTCTTAGGTTTTAACAAGTGTAAGTTTCATTCGCCGTCTGAGTTTCGACCACAGGGAAAACAGGCCTTGAGTTCACTGAAGCAAAGGTGACAAATTTGGGCCCCACAGATCAGCTGTGGTGCTGTGATGCTGACAGAAGGTTTTTCCAGACACACAGCCCTATCCAACAGCCTGTCCTTTCAGACTAAATCTCCCTCCGGTCACCTTCCTGCCTTCCAGAAGTATTTACTGAAACACTTCTGAAAGTGTGCTGGGTTTATAGCGAGCATTGTTCTGGATGGTGAAATGCAACCAGCTGGGAAGTGGGGATGTACAGGCTGCCCTTCAGTTTTGCAAAACTGAAAAAGCTCCACTACTGGCCAGCACCAATCCTGATCTGGGCAAAGACCAAGCAGCAGCTGCAAGCAGAAAAATCCCTTTTCACAGAGTCAGGGTTGTAACCAAGTGAGGAGCAGGCTCAGATGTTTACAGAGGGTGGTTTCCCTGATAATGTGTGATTCAAATAAAAAGCCTTTACGACCCACCCATTCTGAAACTAAAAGGGGTATTTTACGGTGCGTACTGGGTTGAACCACAGTTTTCCCATGGCAAAGAATGAAAAGCAAACCTTGTCTTGCGCATCTCTAGACAATGAAGCTTAAAGCAACTTCTTTAGGAAACGCAGTAAAAGTTCTCTGTGAAAATTTGCCGTGCCTCTCCCAGTACATTCATAAAAGTAAGTTTTTCAGAAAAGTTTGGTGTTCAATGGGGAATCCCATCCTGAAATTGTACTAGGAAAATTATTTGTCTGGAGTGCTAAGGACTAAATGTTTAAGGTCATTAGATGCCTAAGCAATTAAATCAATGAGAAGTAGGAGACAGAAAGCCTTTTAAAATTCTGGCTGAAGTATTTGGCTGTCTTCTGCACACATCAGGGGTTTGATGGAGCGGGGCAGTGCATTTCTAAGCCTGTAAGGAGACAAGGGAAGAGGCCGGTAGTCACATACAGGCAGAGGGGTTGTGAGCCTTTATGATTCCCAAGCCAAATCTGCTGCTTCCCTTCTTCACCTACCCCAGGAGAGCAGAACCTGATGCCACTGTTTCCCCCAGCCCAACTGAGCTCTGGGCTTCCTCCTTCTCCCCTTGACAACTCCAGCACGGTCTGCTCTGGTACTGAGGGGAGCAAGAGTGGCGTACTAGCAGCTTCTTGCCTCAACCTCTTCTCATCTGCTTTTTTTTTTTCTCTTTTTTCCTCCCTCTTTGACCTAGGTCCAGCGCCTGGGAAAGAAAGTGAGAGGACAAACAGGGGACACACAGACATGATGCCCATCACTCCCCTGGTGCGGTGGATCCTGGCGCTCAGCTTCCTCGCCATGACAGTAGCCGTGGGCTTATTTGCCATGTGAAAGAGCAGGACCTTCACCTTCCCTTAATGCCTTCTTCTCCCTGAACTAATCCAGCTTCCCCATTCCTTGTGAGAGAAATTCCACCCCCCCCCCCCCCCCCGACTGGGTACTGTGATCTTGGCTCTGCCACTAATATTAGGAGACTTTTCTCCCCAGAAATCAGAGTGCTGTAAGGGGGTTCAGGCAAAGTCTCCGCCGTGCTTGGTGTGAGCTCTTCTCAGAGATTAACTTTATCACCAAAATCTAAGGGTAGAAAAGGCTAAAAACACTGGCCAAGAGTTGTCGTTGCTTTACAGAGTGCCTGCAGAAATCCTACAGGATCAGATATGTGGCTTTAACATGTGTCTCTCCTCAGAAGTATGAAGCTTCCCAGAGCTCTGTTTGCTCAATGTTTTTATACTGCTAGGTAATACTGTGATCACTTTTTCAGTGGAGCCACACGGCTCCTGTGGGCTATAGACTGTTTTATATGACACTATGTTAATTCTTTTTCCAATCATTTTTGTTTTTTAAAAAGCAGAAGACGGTTGTTGAAGATACAGTGTTATTCTCTTGTCTGGTTATATAATTTATACACATAATAAACTTCAATGTAAAGTCTTCAGGCCTGGTGCTTCTTATTATTAAAGCCTTACCTGGGGAGAAAGGAGGTGTCTTTCTTTATCCCGGTTTTATGTCTTTTGGAGCTGCTGTCTCCACAGACATGACAACAGACGAAAGTGGGAGCTACCATCAGAGCCAGACTCCCCTCCCACTCAGTACTAACAATAACCTGTTACAAGCTGGGGCAGGTTTCTTCAGTTCCTACATGCTGGTCTCTATTTTGAGAAATGGCATGAAATTCTGTGAGTGTACAAAGTATCTGTAAGGGGTGGAAGCCATATATAAGAGCTGATTGCTATTTTATTAAAAGCAAAAAGTGATGGCACCTTCAGCTGGTCGAAACCAGGACAGCTTTCCCTGACCACTGCCAGCTAAGGGCTCCATTACCAGCTCGCCTCTGCAAGAACTTTAGCGTGAATCAGAAAAGCAAACACGTTCCCATCATCCAGAAATGAAATGCCCACTGGGTTTCGATCCTACAAGGCAGCTAAATGGGAGACTTCAAGCATGCAACTGCATGCCCTCACCTAGGTAACAAACCAACCCAATTTGCTCCCAGGACTCGGGCACACACGTGGCACTGCTAAAAGCACTCCAAACACACAGCACTGCCGGAGCAGCCCGTGCACGCAGCTTGCTCTCCTCCCCTTTTGCTGAGGCAGATCTGGAGGTCTGGCTTTCTGGCTAGCCACTGTTATGGCCACAGGCCCCATCTACTTTGGAGGATCCTCTAACACAGGACTCACTGCAGGAGAGGCTGCAGTTCAGGTATGGCACAGCAGGTACCAACAAGGCCCGTACCTCTCACCTCAGAGTCCTTTCCTCTTTCTACCATAAATCCTCTGTGATCAACCCGTCTCCATGATGCTGCCTCTTCTGGCTGTGACCTTATTCCCAAAGACTCACTTTCCTACCGATCTGTTTTAAAAACCAGCACTGAGCTTGCTCACAGATCAAGAATCAGAAGGCAGGTCCTGCTGAGAATAAGCAGTGGGAAAGAGGGGCTGACATTATTCTCAGGCTCTTATCTGATCTTATCCCTTCTGAAATCCCCTTTAATACTTCTCTACTTGCACCCATTTGCCAATCCTTGGTAGCAAAAATAGTTAATACTTAAAAAAAAAAGTCAGATGTTTGAAAAGCAGGGATATGAGTCTTGATAGCTATTCAAATACAAGAATTTATTCATTCATTCAAATTTATATTAAGTTCTACCTATTTAGTCCCTCTAACCCACCTCAACTAAATCACGTTCATTCAACCGTGACGAATGACTGAACATCCCAAACATACAAATAAATGCCCATGAGCTCAGAAATGCACTCTACCACACCCAGTCCCTCTCCACTGCCCACAGAGATTGTAACCATGACCTCACCTTAGGGAATCTGGATCCAGACTGACATCATCCCCTCCCTGCACATGGCAGAAGAAGTATGGTTGCTTTGAGTATCTCACAGCCGCTGTGCTATTGCACACTGAGTGACTTCAGCCTGAGCCTAGAGAAGTCTTCAGAGGTGAAGACTAAAGCTTTGCTTCTATTCATCTACGATCTTTATTAATATATCTGGTTTCTCCATAACATATAAGCTGGTTTCTCTGCAACAAGACAGTCTTTATTTCCCACCCGCTACAGTTAAAACCCCCCTTGCAACACACTACGCTTCCCAGCTTTGCCTTCATTTAGGATGCACACTATCACATTTCTGAAGGGCCAACATGCTTACCCAAGAACCTGCAGGCCTTCCCCCCAAACTTTAGTACTCGTCAGGTGAGAAGCACCCCCTGAGAACACATACCCTGAATCAGGGGCAGCCTGTCTGCAGGCCATCAGACTTGCTGCTCAACTGTTACCGGAAAGTGGTAATTAATTCAGTCTCTAAGACTCAATTTTGGAGTTTTAGAAAGCAGGCATTCTTTATTACAGCGCCAGACACACAGGGGAGAGCTCCTCCTGATGTGTGAGTGTGAAAATGGAATCAACAAACATTTAGACAACCTTAATCATACATATCCACTGCATTTTTATCATATTCATCACTTTTCCAGGAAGTCATTTGGCATATGTTAATGTCTCTTGCACATGTCAGCTGGAGTCTTCGGGTGGTCGTCGGGGGTCTTCAGATGAAGGCTCGTAGTCTTCTTCACTGTGTCTGCCAGCTGACCCTTACTGCTGCGCAAACTCAGTCCTGTGGTCCCGTACACCCTGTCCTTCAAGGACGGCCTGCTCTGGTTTTGTTGCTAATTTGCAGCATCTTTATGTTTCTTTGCACCTGCAACTACAAGGCCAAACCGCCTCCAGTAAGATTATTTATGAGTTCCTTATCCTACGGTTATTCTAACTATTCCTCAAAAGATCGGTATTTGTTCTGCAGCACAACTGCTAAATGGTTAAAACACCTTAAACTGATCTTAATCATTCTATTCCACAAAGATCTATTTCCTAATAATCTTACTTTGCGGGTATCACAACCACTGTCATCCCTGTGGGGCCTTGGCCAGCACCTGCCATTTCCCCACAGTACATCCCACCATGTCCAGTGGGTTTCTCCCCTGTCCTGCTCTCCGTGGCCATGAGGGCCGCACTGCACACGGGCCAGGCCAACGGCCAGGCCCCTCCTGCTCAGGCCCCACAGGCTCCAGCTGCTACAGCAGTAATTTATTTTATTCTCGGTAATTAATGCCTCCGCCTTGCGACCGGGCCTCGCACTCCCCGCCTGAGGGCAACTAACGCCCTCCCCCCACGCGCAATGGTTTCACCCGCGCGCACCACCCCCTCCCCTCCCCTCCCTCCGCGCAGCGCCACAATGGTCTCGCCCGACCGCCATTTCGCCTCCCTCCGCCTTTCTTCTCTCAGATTTCGCGCCAAACTGCGCCCGGCCGGCAGGGGGCGGAGCGCCCCGGCCAATCGGTAGCAGAGGCGACGCCGCGCGCTTCCTCTTGGGGCGGGGCGGGAGGGCGGCCGGGGCCCAATCCGCGGCGGCGCGCTGCGGCTGGGCCAATCGGAGTGCGCGGCGGCGCGCCCCGGGCAGCAGTTTGGTTTCCGCCGCGCGCCGTTTTTGCCGCGAAAAAGTTGGTGGTGTTTTCCCGCGGGCAGCGAGGTGCGGGGCGGGATGGGGGGGGGGGGGTGTCGTGCGTGGGGTATTTGGGGTTGGGGGGAGGAGGGCGGGGGCGGTGTGAGTGCGTGGGGCGCAGCGCGGCGCGGGGGGGGGGAGGGCAGGATCCCGTGGGGTGTTTGCTGCGAGGTAGGAGGGGGAAGAAGGGGGGAAGGTCGTGTTTGGGGATGACCGTGCGCTCTCGCCCCCGCAGGGGAGCGGCAGTCGCCATGTCCGGCTTCGACGACCCCGGCATTTACTACAGCGACAGCTTTGGGGGCGATGCGTCGGTGGACGAGGGGCAGGTTCGGAAGTCGCAGCTGCAGAAGCGGTTCAAGGAGTTTCTGCGCCAGTACCGGGTGGGCACGGACAGGACGGGCTTCACCTTCAAATACAGGTGCTGCTGTGACCCCTTTCCTCCATCTGTGCCTTACCCGCCCCTCTTTGCACATCCAGTCCGCTGTTAAACTCCCTCCTGCTGCGCACGCCCCAGATATGCCATAGCATGTCAGCTTTTCTCTTCCCATAAAGAGCCCTTTGTCAGTATAACAAGTGGTGTTGTTCCCATTTAACCTTATAGGAAAATTAAGGTCTGGTGTTCAGCGTTTTTAGGCAGCCAGCCAGTGGCAGAGGTAGCAATAGAGGGATCTGCACTGCCAGGCTTTTACCTAGTTCTGAAATTCAAGGTCTGTCTTCAAATTCTAGTGCTTTCTGCTCTGGAGTTTTGTCTGTATCCATGAAAATCAGTGTAGCTCTGTCCATGCGTGCCTTCTGAGGCTGTGAGGGTTCCTTGGAGATCCCTTTGCCTATGCAGCTTGAAGACACAAATGTGAGAGAGCATGGAGATGTATCATGCAAGGGCTGGGACAGTCTCACCTTTCATCTCTGAGTTTCATGCACACTGGCATTTTTAAGGAGAACATTGCCTGCTATGCTATTACTTTTTTTAAATCATATTTCAGGTATAATGGGTATTATCCTGTGTAGAAGTTTTTCAGTTGCCTATCTGGTCATGTACCTCTAGTAAACCATTAGTGCTATACTTTACTTTGCCACTGTAAGCACTGGTGTCCCTGGGCTTATGTCACATTTCAGAGTGGTTTGGGGTGAAAGATTTGCCTAGGTACCCCTACGCTTCACTTGGCACTCTCCTAATTTTCCCTCTTGGCTTTCCAAGCCAAGGACTCGCTGCAGAACATGCCTTCTCCGTTTTCTCCTTGTCGTGAGGTCACTGCGGGTGACTGGTGCTTTCTGCCCTGCAAACCTTTACCGCTTCCTGCCTTCCAGGGATGAGCTTAAACGGCACTATAACCTGAGTCAGTATTGGGTGGAGGTGGAGATGGAAGACTTGGCCAGCTTTGATGAAGATCTTGCTGACTATCTGTACAAGCAACCAGCGGAGCATCTGCAGCTGGTAAGGATGGAGGAGGTCTACAACCTGCCGTGCTGACACTGTCACATTGCGAGAGCCGCCCTGACGGTATATTGCAATATGCCCCTAATAGCCTAGGTCTTCCCTTTGTAGTTGGAAGAAGCAGCAAAAGAAGTCGCAGATGAGGTTACCCGTCCTCGCCCCTCAGGGGAGGAAACTCTCCAAGACATCCAGGTGATGTTGCGATCGGATGCCAACGCAGCCAACATCCGCAGCCTGAAGGTGAGGTCAATCGGCCGCCGGGGCGAGCAGCGAGGGGCAGGGCTTGCTTGTGTGTGGGTGTGATCGCAGGGAAGCTTTTGGTACTTAATTGCATAGTTCAGGACATAGCTTGTACAGTAATTTGCAAGCAGGGATACTCTGCAACTTAAATCGGACTGCAAAGAACTGTTATTGCTGGTTCCTGCGGGGACATTGTTGCTGTTAGTGATGTTCTGCATGGACTGTTTTGTCTTTTTCTCTTGCTTTGA